TCCCTACAAAAACATATTTTAAAAAGTTCCCAGAATGATCATGAAATTTCTAGATTAATTCATAGCATATGGTGCTCCAGATTAATATGGAAAAAATAATCTCTTACACAAAAGTTTCTTGCATATTTTCTGAGTAAATAAAACACAAGAAACAAAAAATCAGACATCCATTCTCTTAAAACAGAAATTAAACTATAGTGGGGACCAAGCCCTTCCATGACTCTGGTATTAGCCTCTCAGACAACAGCCTATTTAAATAGGATGATACTTACAAAGAAAAGTGGGATGAGTTATTTAATTAGTGCAATTATTCTGCATGCATATGTACATATATGCAAACACAGGTAGTAGGTGGGTAGGTGTGTGCACATGTGCACTTACCTATACATTTCAGAAAAGGAACTGTTCTTTATCCACACAATGCAGAAAAGGCATCATTCTGAAGCATTGGATTAAAACTTCAGTATATTAAATGCATATATACCTCATGGAATATTCAACGCAAGAAGCAGTAGTTTCAGTAGTTATAAAACATGGAAGGATTTGGCAGTGGAAGATTTGGGAACATATGCCCAAGAGACAGCCCAGTGGAAAGCAACATGACAAGCCATGAGAAGAGAACTGAGAACAAGGTTGCCATCCTGGTCAGGTTGACCAGATGACAAATAATGATATAAAGAACAAGATCCAAGGTCTAAGGCGGTTCAAGATTCTGAAACCCTGATGAGCTGGAAGCAAACTTGGGGGCAGGTTGGGAAAAGGAAGGAGGAGGAGACAAAAAACAGACATACAACATGATTTGAGTAAGAAACCAAAAAGATGATTTGATGAGCTATAAGAGGAATCTCCAATAGAGCATGCCCTCCAAAGCCTAGGTGCATTAACCTAGGCATTATCATCACAAAAATGCATCAATGACTTCACTGATATGGACAGGAGACAACATATACAATTTGAAACACAGAACTTTAAAGGACAACATACAATACAGTCTGATTGTCCTGATTGTTTAGAGACAGTGTAAAACTGTCATTCAATTAAAATAAGGAACAACATATAAACAATCTCATTATGATTGCCATTTGTACTAGAAACCAAGAATATTTCTATTACACACAGATATAGCTTATCAAGTTTCATAAAGCTTAAAAGTTTCAATAACCATTGATATTAGAAATAGTTTACCTGTAAAGCAGCCTTAAGCAGCATTTGAATAAAAAACAAAAGACTGTAAACACCACTGGCAACAGCAATAACCATAATCCACAGTAACAAGTTATTATTTCTACAGCCAATTAAAAGATAATTGCCCATAACTTACACCCTTCACCAAGCACTGCTGTTCTCCAACACTAAAACCCTTTACTACTGCCCACTCCTGAAACTAGGCCTATTGAGCCCAAACAAATTAAAATTTCATTATCAACATTAATTCTCAAGTTCAATCTCTTTCCCATTTCCCCTCTTTCTTCCCCTTCTTTGTTTGTAGTTATGTCATGTCTGCCTCCAAACACAGCACATCAGCACCGCCCTAAACCCCCATCATTGGGTCTGCTCAATTTCACTTACAGCAATCCTAATGCTTCCCACCAACTCCTGCAGAAGTGACAGGATGAAGTGACAAAAATATTTTCAGCAACCAAAAATGTTACCTTTTCCCATTAGTATTAAAATTGACTCCTACTAAGACTACCTAAATTATAATCTTAGCATGTTTTCATTCCTGAATTTATTTACTCATTAGATTTCATTTACATTAGGCTTTTTTTTAATTTATGCCACCTGGATAGATATGCAATGTATTTGAATGTGAGTAAGAAGTTTTGCATTACCTTTAAACTGGTATCTAATCCCTTTCAAAAGTACCTGCAGTATTAGCTCACTACCGGAGAGTTCAGTGGAAATATTTTTAACTTCTAGCATTATACCTGCAAAACCAATACTTATCTAGAGCTTCTGAAACATCCAAACAACAGAAGTCATTCCCCTCCCCAACATGAATTATCTACATTTTTCTCAACACGCAAAAGTAAGAACTACTGCACATACAAATCTTCCCAAACCAGCAATTTAATGTTATTACTTTCATATTTATGTACAGTTGAACACCATACATTAGACAGGCTTTACAGAAGTTTACTTTTGCTCTTTATATTCAACAGCAGTGCCACGCTACCTTAAAGTGCTGCACTCATGTTTGGCTCAGTCCAGGAACTGACAGATATGGCTGTAGGACTGTGCAGCATATACATCTCTTCTACAGACACACAGGAGGGGAAGATAGCAACTTTTACAGCTATATTGAATCCAAGATGCAACAGGAATTAAGAATTCTAATGAAACGTTAGAGTCCCTGCATTCAAATAAATTCTACAGTTCTATTTATGTTTCAGTCAAAAGTAAACATAATATTCTGTAATACAAAATGAATATCTGCAATCCAACCCTACGCTTAATGATGCATAAGTCATCGTTATGCATTTCTCTGTGCATTTAGTGCATTTCTCTGCACTAAAGATGCCATCCCTCACAGTTGCGATGCAGAGATGCACTGCTGGGGAGAGATGCTAGAGATACAAAAATGTGTGTGCAGTCTGCCTTTTACATTCTCTCAAGTACCTTTTGTTGAATAGTGGAGTGCTTTTGCTCCATATCTCTCTTCTCCTTTGCAGCATCTACAGCCAACTGATCCAGCTGTAAAGAGAAACAGAAAATTGGATCTTTAGATAGCAAAAGAAATTTGGCTCAGTAGATTTCATAATGCTGACAAAAAAGAACATATTATGTCTAGACATTGCATGACTTTTGTTTTACTTGCATAGAATAATTACTTCCCTGGTCACAAAGTGTTTACCTTGAATAACCACTGAAGCCTCGTTTAAAGCACTGCACTATCATCCTGATTTAACCTCTACGAAAGGTGTACATTTCTTGTAAGCCTTAGAAGAAATGTTTCAAAGAACAGCATGGTGCCAAGCATATGCGACTCTATACCGCATTGGTGCTCAGTCTCCGAAGAGAATGACTCATGCGCTTGCTGGCTGACTGGCCTATGCAGCAGCACTGGCATTAGCAGCAAAACTAGAAGGAGCGAATGCTAGTGATTTTTCCCCTTCACAAAGCGGGGGAACTGGCTCAACCAGGCTTTGGTATTGATAGTTTTGATCAGGTCACCAGCAGTATTTGAGCAAGACTTCTTGAAATCTTAGGCAGAACCATTCAAACTGTTTCTAGTTTCAGAAATAACAACAATATGATTTTGCAAAGAAAGACTGTCACAGAGAGGATTTAAGTTAGCATCCTTACAAAGTCTGTGATAATAAAAAAAGACGCTATCAAAAACTTGCTGCAAGCATGTCCAATAGCACTACCATATAAACCTTTTCCTTTTAAAACCAGAAAGAAAAAAAGGCAGGAAGTTTAAGATCTTGTGTAAGAAAGTAAGTTTGGGTGGGGGTTTTGTGTAGTTTTGTTTTTTTTTTTTAAACCAACTTCGATGTTTAAATAAGAGATATGATGAAGTGGAGGGGCAGATGCTGTCTGAAAGACCAGTTAGCTCAGTAGTTGTGTGCCACGCTATGGAATCTGATTAACTCCTCCTTTCTCCAGCCTGTAGCACAGGACTGCCATTAACCCCAGCCACAGCATCTTGCTGAAGAGCGATGCAGATGCAATACTGAACACAGCAGTACAGCCCGCAGCTTTACACCTGCGGGACAGACCTCATCCTACTCCAGCCTAGAACGAGGAGATCAGGAACAGTGTGCAACACACCAGTTTTCCAGCTGAAGTCAGTCACGCTGCAGAGAGCACAGTGTACTAACAAAACCTCTAATTCACACACAAATAAGATCACCTCCACCCACTCTCATAACCACAAGTGAGAACCCCTGCCAACTCTGGTCATTTTCCCCCGTGTTGTTTCCTCTGCTTGAAATTATACAAACAAGAGAAAAAAGGGACAATAACCAACTCTTACACCCTTGTCTTACTCTCCAACAATAAAGGCGCCATCAGATCGTTGGGACATCTGGATCCAATTCCAGACTCTGTTACTTTTCATAACTCTTCTCTCCATGGCTGCTTCTCTGGCTCAAATGGCTCTACCAGCACTTTCACACCTTACAGGTATTTGAACATGAACACATTAAAGACTGAAGTGTCCACACATCATATTTATGTAGCTCCATGACTTAGAGTCTCTAAAAGACTGGGCTGCCATTGTACTCGAAGACTGTTTTGCACCAAGAACCCTGGGAAACCCCTTCTTTGTGATAAAGATGAGAACTGGTCCAAGGGCCACTCAAGATTTTACAGGAATCAAGTTTCTTGCTAAAAATGTCAGATTCAGGAATCTGTACATGGCCCCCAAGAAATTCTTCCTCCTACCCTGCTAGATGAAACAAAAGGTAGCCATGTTCAGATTCAGGCCATTCCCTGTAATTTACCTTAAACACATGTTTGGGGATACATTTACAACAGCATAAGTGCCAAAACAAAGTTCTTAGCAGCAGCTCATTTCATCATTTACTTTTTTACTATCAAGACAGCATGGCATCATACCAGTTTCCAAGCTCAAACCAGGATTTCTTCTTTTCACTTGGGTGCACAGCACATCTTAAAGACGACCAGCAGCATACAATCTAGAAAATACTATCAAGAGCTGTGGCCAATCACACAACTAAACTATCAATATCCCAGTCATTATACCATTACTGGGTAGTCTTCAAAAAATTGGGTTTTTCAAAATACTGCATTTACTGGTAAATGTATTTTTATAAAGTAGTATTCTGCAGAGGACTAATACTACAATGTTTAGCTTTTTGAATAGTCATCTTAGAATGAAAATTCAAGTAGGTTTTCTTTTTCAACTAATACCATATTTCATACAAAAAGTGCCAAATACCATAATTTCCATGCAAAAGCTTATATTACACTTGTGTGCCATTAAAGATTCCCCTACGATGATCTGATTCACAAGTAATCCTACTCCGACTTAAAATATCCAGAAAGCAAAATTGCTCAATCCTACTCCATCACGTAAACCAGTTATTTTGAAAATGCAAACCGAAAGAATTAAAAGTTATAACTATACTATTTAAGATCACTTCAATTTAATAATTCAGATGCTGTTAAACCTTGTAATTAAGTTCATACACAAAATTTACCTGGGAATGAAAACTCACCAACAGAAAGAATCTAACAGTATTTTCAGAAAAATCTAACAAATCCCTGTTTTGTTACGTCCTGACCTGTTAAATGCAGGAGCTTCAACCAATACAAACTGCAAAGCCATTAACTGTTAAACTTTCATAACCTATCTACAAGTCTGCTTCTGTCATGAAAAATACCCATTACTTAAATGGTAGGTCTGCCACAAAAGAATAATTCAGTAAGTTGTACAACTTTAGGGTCTTCAGCCTATCTTTGCTCCACTTGCAATGTATTTTAAACATTCTCAGCTTCCGATTTTCTAAATTTAACTCCTTCAGTTGCTATGATACCAGCACCAAAATGAATGTTACACAATGCTCCTTACCAGATCAAGCAAAAGGATGACCAGCCGTTCAAAGAGAACCTTGTGTTCCTTACTCAAATAATCTCAATGAAAGGGAAACATTAAAGCCTAGCTGGCAGCATAAACCACTACCAGCTCCATAGTTTTTGTTTCCTTTCCCCATTCACTCTTCTTCAGAGGTACAGGGCACACATTCTATACTACCAAAACACAACAATTACAACCCAAAATGGAAGGATGTAAAAGAATAAAAGGTACAACTAAGGACAGAGTAATGTGCACCTGAACCTTTCAAGTGCTGCTTTTTCACCAAACACAGAGGGCTGTAGCTGTACAGTCACTCCTCTCCTTGATGGCAGTGCCAGCTCAAGCAGCTTGTCACTCTTCTCAGCTCCATCACTTGCTTGCTGCACTCATGCACGCACATGAGCATGCACCTCCCTGACGTGTGTTTGCACAAGTAATTAAGACCCACGGTAACCTGACCAGGGACTAGTCTAGCAGAAAAATAACTACACATTTGATTGAGTTATTTTCTACAGTTCCCAATCTGCTTCACTGCACAGACACAGAAGCAGGTTGAGGGGCACAGATGACAACAGGGCTGTGATAGGAATAACAGCTCAGAACAATGCATTTCATAGACATTCAGTGACATTTATTTGCATTCATCTCAAATAGATATTTGTTGTCATCTATTTGCTTCTGTATCTGGATAGACACTTAGAATTTGGGTTGGCTTTGTTTTGTGGATCAGGGTGGGAAGTGGCAATAGATGGGTTTGCAACAGTGCAGTTGTTGCAAGTCCTCAGAGAGAGGCAAAAAAAAAAAAAGTGTTGTACAAGTATTTCCAGGCCCATTCCACTTGCAGTGAAAACAAGTCATGATGCTGCTGAGTCTTCTTCCTGCACCAGACAGATCTTCAGCTGAATATTATATGTTCTTAATCTATTTTGCATAACCATTTTCAATGTCTCCTGTGTGCAGTTGGCTGTGGGCCATCTAACCTTTTCATGAGTCCCTCACTGAAAACCCAGAAGTTGCAATTGTGTGTTCTTAAACAACAAAACTGAGCAAGAAGGATTCAATGTATGAACTCAGTTTTGCACTGCTTAAAAATTAGACCTCTGTTTCATGGTCTAAGTTGCGAACATGAATTTTATTTTTGGCACACGGCAGAATTTATACAGTAAACGTATACAAGCAGAAGGAAAAAAACCAATCTACTTTTTATTGTTAAATATATTTATAACATGGGTCACACACAAAAAATTTTAAAACAAAGTAACCCAGTGTCCTGAATACCACAGAGTACCTCAAATGGTGCTACATGGCTATGTTTAAGTATGTAAATCCTAAAGGTAGTATTAATTGTAGTAAACAGACAACTTTCAGTTTCTAACTCCTTTCATTCTAACCACTTGCACTGTCGTTATGCTTTGCCTTTATCACACCACAGTTCCCTTTCTGTTGAATAAACCTATGACGTACCTGACACATATGCATATATCAAGTTTTCATCCACTCCAGCATATAGTTATGAGTTTTTAAAGTAATTTGTTACCTGTGCACCAAGATCTTTCATGTAGGGCTCAAGTTCACTAAAAAGATCATAGCCTTGATGGAAAAAAGCAAGATGGGCATACATAAATGATAACATCTAGAAGGGGAAAAAAAGAAGGTTTTTTTTAAAAGAATAAATATTTATCAGATATCATATAAATATATCACCTAACTAATCTACACGAACAAATTTAAAATACAATTTCAGGGTTAATTTCTGCTGTCTTGCGTCCTGGCAATTTTACGTCAATCTCTCATAGCTTCCAATGTTGTAAATAAACACACAAGGTAAAGGCAAAGAACCAAGCCAAAAATCTCAGAAATTAGTTAATAGGCTTAACCCCATTAGCAAAACAAATCTACTTAAGGGTAGAAAATTACTTCTAATTCATGTCACCTGAAACTTTTGCTATCTCCTGTTTAATTAGGACACATAAATTGGAGAGGGGCTACAGAATATATTTACTAATGATCCAAAACCATAACCTTTATGAACATAGCCAAGAAGACTGTCCAGTCTTAAAAAAGAAAACAAGTTGGGAAGATGCAGAGCAGAATGGCAAGCAGCGATAAAGCTGTGATCCAACTAAATTTTTGCTATGTAAAAGAAGGAAATTATAGGAGTGCAAATTTAGACCTTTGAAAGAAAAGCACCATTTAATTTGGCAGTGTCTACATCAGTAAACTTTTTACAGAGATAAAATGAAGTAGAAAAGGGAATACAATCAGAAGAAAACAAGCATGCAGATATAGCTGCATATTAATTTAGCAGATTACAATAAGCTATTTACGTTAAAAAATACCATTTTTGTAGAAACATATGAATCCATCTTAGGATAGATTATAACAAGTACTTACTGTTTATAAATTAATATAGCAGACCCAAACAGCAGAATTCTTGGCAAACAAAGTTCGATTTTAACCATGAAACACATACCAAAGAGTCGACAGCAGTGAAAACCTTAACGTGTTCAGATCTGAAGCAAAAGGATTGCCAAAAACAGTGAAGCATCTATGCCCAGTTATAGTAAAGGTCAAACTAACTTTCACCAAAGTGCCAAATGTACTGATTTCAGACGTATTAAAATATTTTCTATAAAGAAAATAAAGTATAACTTACTGATTTTAAGATTTCTGCTCTCCTTTTAGACTGAAGAACATTGATCTAGGAAAAAAAAACCAACAAACAAGCAACTTATTTTATCCTACTTTCAATCTTTCCTCATAGAAGTAAATTTCAAATTACTTCCAAATAATCATATCAAAGCTTAAAACACTGGAAAAACATAACATCAGACTTCACAAAGCACTTTTAAAAGAAGATGCATGCTAGTTTTGTCATGATAGTAAAGTGAAGCAATCAGAAAAGGCTTGCGAAGCTAGAATTTCACAGTGGCAGTCACAACTTGTTTATATTAGAAGAGAAAGCATAAGGCATCACGTGCTAGCTAGAAGCAGTAATACACCTTTCATGCAAGGAAAATTGGTACGCATTTTCAAGAGACCGAGTTCAAGATTTTTCAAATAGCCTTTCTGACAGTATCAGCTAACCCGGCCCACCAACTTCTTAAAGCTGCACTCAGCACCACTGTCGTCTCCTGCCAGGGGAGAGGAAAGGACGGAGGCATGTGGTTTTTTTCCCCCCTTCTCAAGCTAACATTGTCTAAAGTGTCCCAAAACTGGGATATAGCCCCAGCCTCTGAAACAAGCAAGACCATAATAGCTTCAATAAGTAACTTTTCATACATATTTGCACTTTTAAGCTAGCTGAAGTCAATGACCAATGGCATTACCCTAGAACTTGAAGAATTTCACCTTATATAGAAAAAAAAATAACTGATTTTTCACATTCACCTAGTTCTTCTATCCTCTTTGTCCCCTGATCTTTAAGGTTGCCATCCAGAACTACAGATTTTACTTTAAAAGCCCTATTTAGCACAAGCATGCATGATTTTGTAATTTAACACCTCTATGTCAGTTTAAAATTCCAGCAAAAGAAATAAACTTACTAAAGCTATAATCAAAACCAGATTGTATTTCTACACTTAAAACAGTCAGTATTTTGGAAAACCTTCTGCAGCAAAAATAAGATTTGTTTGTATAGAACAAACCCTCAACTTGCAAGGCAAAAAAAAGGAAAGGTTTTGAAATACTGTTTAAAGCCAATACAGCTACAAAGAGACCATAGCTGTGAAGCCACTTTTCCAGAAGAAAACAGTCACCCAAGTAGAAAGAAGTCCTAAAGCCTAATTCATTTTTGCCCACATTATTTAAGAGATGATGAGACTTTTTGCTGTTACTTTAAATGCATCTTTATCACAGGAACTGCTCATACTTTGGACATACAAATTCCAGGAGGCAAGCAACCTGCAGTTCGATGCACACGCAAGGAACTGGCCTGTCGTAACGACTGCCCTCCCTGCTGCTGTTTGATGCGAGTACAAATAATCAAGTGGTGCATAATTCACATGACTTTTTAAACATCAAAATTAACTTTGTCCTTAGCGTTCAAAAGGCAGGAGTTCAGTGTTGACCACTGACCACTGTGCACATCCCCAGGCTGATCAGATTGACTCCACTTTACAGGTAATCCATGCAATTTAAAGAAAGTTAACTAAGCTTTAAATAATTGACTGGACTGTCACAAATCAAGATAACATCTAATATAAAACTAACATAATTTTAAAGGGTTGTTCTGTGTTTGATCATAGGAGAACCCCAGATCCATTTAGGCGCCCCCAACCCCTTGTACCATCCGAGTTACAATAATCCTGTTTTGCTGTAGTTATAACTATGAAAGAGATGAATTTAAGTATCAACAGAAGATTTGTTATTATTTCACAGGATTCAAAGTAGTAGGACAAAGAACACCTCTCAACACCCTGTAGGAGATCTGCACTAAAAAGCAAAAGAGTAGTTATGCTCTTCATTTCCCCTACGGCATAATGCCAAACTCTAAGGCTTCTAGACAAGTCACATTTGTTAAATAAAACCCAAAGCAAACTGCTGAAATTTTAGGAGTACCAAACATCCTACATCAGAATTATTCAGGTAATTTGTATTTCCTAGACTAGATTACAGTTTTTACTCCAAATATATAAGGAACTACAGCATAGCCAACTCATGAAATACATTTAGGTAAGCAAACACTTTTTTCAGAATGAACATTCAAGTTGAAAATTAAACTGTGTCAATACAGCAACAGCACTGAATACTGAAACATTAAGCAGTAAGAATTCATCAAGTAATTAATTTTGCTCAGATTTCATTAAAAAAGAAGTTACTTGGAAAGGTGTTCCTTTTTTACTGAACCTCCACAGCTTCTGAGAAGCTTACAATAAGAACTTCTAAAGGACAGATCTCTAACTACATGTAACAGATGGTTTTGAAAAACAACTTTTATTGCAGCACTTACCTGAAGAACATAATCCAGAGCTATATGTCGAAAACATTTCCGTGTTGCAGTCAAAATATTGGTTGCTTCCTCTACTTCATGTTGCTTATTTCTTTGAACTTGGGCATTTTTTACTAGAGCATTCTCTTTTTCTTCACTAACTTTTTCAAACTGTTTCTTTGCATCTTTAAATTTCCGAATATCTCTAAAGAAAAAGGAAAGATGGATAACAAATGAATTCCAAAGCATGAAAAGTATTTAAAGATACACTAGACAGGCCATACTCATGACTGTTCTAGCTAGTTTCTTTGTTTTCATATTCCTCAATAAATGCTTGGTAGAAACAGAAATTGTACAAAGTATGATAGAAGCGTCTCTGTCTTTCTCTTCTGAGGAAAGGACAAAATTGAAATTTAAATAAATGCATGTCATGATCACTGGAGAAAAGCTTTGGTAAGCACTTTTTTCCCTAAGCTTAGACAATGACAACTTGTAATTAAGATCAGTAATTTATACTATTTCAACATTTCTGCAGCTGGATCTAAAGCCTTACAGATTTGGGGTGGTTTTTGTCAAGTTTTAATACACACTTTTCAATTTATGGCTGGCAATTTTTGGGAAAGAGGTTTCACCAACCGAATCAAATAAGACGTTTTCAAATTCTACTTTACTTATAATTTTCCCATCACAAATGAAAGTTAACTTACTCTTTAACAAAAGTCTGAAGCTGTGCTTTAATTGATCTTTGGGTTTGGTCAAACAAGATCTGAAAGAAAAGCATTATTATGTAGGTCAGTAGCTTAGGGGTATTCGTAACTTCTCATTTTAGACATACATATGTTTATTATGCAGAATTACATGAGCATTATTACTAAACCAATGTGTGTCTAATATCAAAATAGAAGCCACTTCAAAGTAGTTTTGAGATAAATAAGAAATAAATAAGGAATAAGACAAGGAAAATAACACAAACTCAATACCTTTTGCTGGTCTTCTCTTAAAGACCGTTACAAGGAGAGACAAGAGCCCCTGGCATCTTACTCTCTCAGTGTAACATATGCCCACTGTCACAGAACATGTTTATTATGATTATTAAATAGTCAAGAACATTACATTACTATACAAACAGCCTTGAAGAAGCAACTCTGAATGTTAAGTAACAACTTTTTTTGATTCTTATAGACTTCCACAATTTAACCAACAACTAAAAGACAAATGAAACCACAGAAAGAACATGTCCTGAACTTATGGCAAAAAAAAACCCCAACCACAGACTGAAATTAATGCTGAAAAATGTAACATACATGAGTAATTAGTACCATCTCCTTTACATATATGTTGGTAAAAAAACACCCACTGTTGAACTGCTAAGAATGGCTGCTGCTTTTTCCATGAGTAAGTGTTCTAAGCCATGCTTCTCAAATTTCTTGTGATTTGGGAAGGCTGAGGAGAAGGGGGGAGGGGGCAGAATATAATCTACTCATTCAAATTGTAAAGCTTGAGAAATTTGTTAAGTTTCCAAGGTCAAAGCATACCTGAATGTTAGACAACTTGTATTTTCTCTTATGACCCCAGAAATTCTAACTGAGGAATGAAAGCGCACATTCCTTCAGCTTCACATCTGCCCTCTGAGTTTTAGGACAGAATGGAACAGGTCAATGGCTATGGAACAAATCCTTTTGCCACTTATCATTGTGCAGACCACAAACGATGCCTTCATTTCCAATTCCTCTGCACCTCCCATTCTGCATTATGGAAATATACAAGGCATGATCACAAAATAACATTAACTCAAAGAATATAAGGAAGTAGTAGTTGGCCCAACTGAACAGAATCTTTTCCAAAAGGTACATATCTTAAGTGTTAAATAATTTTATTGAAAGAGCGAGTCAAGAACTCAAAGTTTCAGGTCAAGAGTATTTTCTTTAGATGTTCTCAGTCTTAGTTTCCCTATTCACAAAATTTGGGAATGAAAAGCCATGCAATGCCAAGTACTGACAGCAAAACCTTTACCAGCTTGTTTGTCTTTTCTAGAAACACTGAAGGAAGGAAAACATGACTGAGTTTAAGCCACCCATTAACAGCAGTACTATATCCTCCATCCTGTCTCCATTTTTGGAGGTCTTCCAAGACCACATGGGATAAAACCCTCAGGAACCTGCTCTAAACTCAGAGCTGACCCTGATTTAGGCAGGCAGTTGAACCAGACATCTCCCAAGGCCCCTTCCAACCTGAATCGTCCTATATCTAGCAATAACACATGGAAGATCCTGTTTGTATTCCCACGTTGGGAAACCAGAAAAAACAGACAATTAGAATAAAGAACTTCTTGACAAACTGGAAGTCATGCTGGGACTACTCCCACTGCTGACATTTAAGCCTGCCAGTGCCTGAGGAGTGCACCAATCAAGATCAATACAGGAAGATTATAACCAGATGGGAACTCAACTGATTAGTGGACTTGCAGAAATATGAGCCTTCGCAATTCTGCTTACAGTAATGAAGAGGAAAAAAGTGCTAAGCAAAAAAGTACATACACATTTTTTTCCACTAAAAGAACAGAAAAAAAAAGTGCCCAGACCATGATCTGACTAGATTTACAGCCTTTCCAACACATTACCTTTCATACCCTCCAAACCAAGTCTAAGCAATCTGCTATTTGCCATAAGCTGTGAAAGCTACTCCCCCACTGCTAAATCAGTGAAGATGCTGCGTCAGTCTGGTTCCTAGCCTTATTTGTAGCAAAGTCTCATAGGAGAAAACTGATAGTCATCCAGCTCTCAATGGGACCATCTCATAACCCTTCCCTCCTTCCTCTGGAGAATGCCTGACTCATCTTTCTTCCTCTAGCTTCTTCTCACTCATGATGGCTCTCCTGCCAACGTGGTCAACAACAGAGCTGACACTGTGAGCTAGCAAGTCCTTCTGAACTAAGCAGATTCACAAAAAGCTACACAGGACCACAACATGTCTGGCAAAGCTCTACATCAGAACCCCATACCATGCCTCGCTTCTTATGTTTGTGCTCTTTGATAAAAGCCACTGTTCACTCACTATGCTGGAGCACAGCAAGGAAGTGGATGGGGAAAAAAAGCAGGATGGAACTCAGAGTGGTCCTACATAGATCTGCAAAGCAATCTTCTTTTAATGTGGCTTGTTCTTTGCTTTCTGCCTTCAAACTGCCCTAAAGGGAGAGTTGTGCTGTACCAAATTTTACCAAAGCACTGCAAGACACAATCATGTAGCACAGTAACCTAGGTCCTATATTCCTAGGCCCGGAACCCTGGGTCCTATTTTCCTCCTGCCGTAAGATGCGTCAAAAACACCATACCATACAGCAAAGACATGATTAAAAGGGTAACTAGCAGCAAGAAGTGTGATGAAGAGTGTAAAACAGGGACAGCCAACAAGATTTGTGAGCTCAATCTAATCTGCAGAAATTGCTGGCATGAAAGTAACACTTTCTCCCACTACTGCTGCTTTGAACCTTTGCGCTAGCATCAAAGTATCACTGTCCACTTACTCCCCTCTTTACAGTTTTCATTATACTATTATGTAGATATGCACACCTCATATAATGGAAAGGAAATCCAACTCAACAATATTAACCTGCTTCCCTTTGTTTCCCTTGCCTTCTAAAAGCACGCGTTTTCAAAAAAAGGCCTAATAAGATAGTTTTAGGAAGCTAAGTTAATGCTAAGAAATTTAATTTTAGCTGAAGCTGTTTGATCTGCATTCTCTGTATCTCATTACATTTTAAACTCCTAGTGGTATAAAAAAAATAAATTTTAAGCGCCCTGCATATTTTCAGCACTTTGGAGACACTTCAATTGCTTTCCAATTTGCTGGAAAAAGAAAGAAAAGCTGTAGAGGCTAAGGGAAGAGGAAGAAAACAGGAGAATGAACACATCCCTTTGGCTTTCAGGATACAAGACTAAGCTCTTTAGAGGAGGAAGAAAAAAAAGTTTTCAACCCAGGCAAAGTTGAGCTTTCTGACAAAGTCTGACATGCTAAAAATCACTATTAGTCTTAAATCCTAGCATTTTCTCCTTTCTCTACACTTGTTTACATCTGTCATACTTCCAAAAAAGAAAACTAAACACAAATCAGAGATGCTTCATTTTGTGCATGATAAAGGTTGTGGAAAAAGGTAGAAATTATGGAAAAGGTAATCATTTCAGTCCAGCAAAGAAATATGCTCATATTTTGTCACTGCTACCCATCAATTTGATTTAGAACGATTCAACGAACCAGTATTTACTCTGTCTTACAGCACTGGGTTTTAGTAAACCTTACAAATTCCACACAAAAAAATGAAGCAAGATAAAAATCTGCAGAAAAGGGTGTATTTACAAATACTTCATAAACAAAATATAAACAAAATATTGACAAGTATAAAATGAGAGGTATTTAATACCACTTAATACCACCATGACTTTGCAAATACCATCAAGATGATAAGCTTTAGCATTATTCTGTTATCAAATATAACTGGAGGTAAGCTATCAGTGTCATGTTTCAGCTAGAAATACTTACATTGTGATAATTGATCATTTCCTGTAAGGTGTCAGAGAACTTTGTCAAGCTGGTCTGTAAAGAAAAAAACAAAGTGGTTTAAGTTAAGCCCTACCAAATACACAGCATGAAAGCAATGTCTAGGAGGTTTACAGCTTTTCAGTAAAGAACCTGGGAATCGATTTTCGCTAGCATGATTATGAAACTAAAATCATTATGCCAGAAGGAGAACATGGGGGTAATATCAAGTAGTGTTACTACTACCTACTTATATATAAAGGACCAAACTGAAGCAAAGCAGGAAAAATTCAAATTAAGTTGACTAAACTATGGGAAGTTCACATAATTCAATACATTAATCTACAATATTTAATATTACATTACTGAGTATTTATTAATGATTAAAACTAACTCCAAAAAACTGGTTAACATATTGCAATCATCGGTAAACACGTTTAGTGTAAGAACTACTGCCTCACAGCTGATATGCTTAGCAACATCAACATCAATCTGTAGAATCAATGTCTCAAACACGGTTAGAAAACAACGATCCCTAATGTATTTGGATAACTGCTTATTGCTTAGCCAACAAGTGTAACAAAAACCTACTTGGAATCAAATAATGTAAGTTTTCCTAGTTTGCCATCACACATTTCTAGCAAGTAAATTTCCAGACAACAGTTTCAGCTGCACACAGACTACACTGAAGTTCCCAGGCATTATCTATTTCAACAAGTATGTGAGGATGCATACATGTAATTGATGTTCTATTACATAACATGCATCAAATATAGATTATATACACAGACATGTGCGTATAATTATACCTGCATATCACACAACTTCATACCTCATTTCAAAGTAACATAGACAGGAAATGTTAGGCTAATTTGGAACACGTAATAAGACATCAGTCTGAGGTTACACCATCAAAGTGGGCTCTATATATTTAAAAATTTACATTTCTATGTATTAGAGAGCACCAGTTTCAGGATCCAAGAGATCAGCTCAGGGAATTTAGTTGCAGAGAACCGGCTCTTAGGATCTCATGACTAGAACCCCTTTATTTAGCAAAGTAAACAGGGCAGCTCTTCACAGCTTCAACCTGACTTTCTCCACTCACTGCAAACTGACCATTCCTAATCTAATACATATTTTCTAGAATTTGGAAAACCCTTGCCATTGCAGGTTAAAGCTGAAAATAAACAGCACAGACACTCACAGTGCACCACAGTCAAAAAACCTCACTCTTAAGACATCTCAAAGAAAAAGAAGCAAAAAGACAAATAATACCATAAACTTCAACTACTTCTCTTGCCCACTGTTGTATTTTACCCTTTTCAAGTCATGCTTTTCTCCTTCCATTTTCACCTCTAAAAACTTACCTCAACCAATGCATCTTTACAGGAATATTGTGCAAGGTCTCGAATCCCATTCATGAACTGCTTGTTCGCCGTACAGAATGCTTTCCCAGTATCAATCATTGCAATACAAAGCTTCACCAGCTAAAAAGAGGAAAAAATTACGAAGCAGAAGTATTTTGGTTTTTCACACCACCATATGAACATAAACCACACTGAGCTTAGTTAAGTCTAAGAAACAAAGATTTCAAAACTTAAATTCTAAATTTGCAGAGCCCCATGTTCTGTGAAAAGCTTTCTATTGTTTAGTTTAATAGGACAGAAAAGGAAGGGAAAATAATAATAAACAAAAATAATATACAAAATAAGCGATACACAATGCAATTGCTCACCACCCACTGACTGAAGCCCAGCCAATTCCCAAGCAGCAGCCCCCTGGCCAGTTTTCCCCCTGTTTATATACTGAGCATGACATCATATGGTATGGAATAGCCCTTTGGCCAGTGGGGGTCAGCTGTCCTGGCTGTGCCCCCTCCCAGCTTCTTGTGTCCCTGGCAGAGGAGAGGAAGCTGAAAAGTCCTTGACTGGTATAAGCAACAACTAAAGCATCAGTGTGTTATCAACATTATTCTCATATTCAATCCAAAACACAGCACTATGCCAGCTACTAGGAAGAAAGTTAACTCTGTCCCAGCCAAAACCAGGACAAGAAGGCATATTATAATTGAGTTCCCCCCCAAACCAAACAGAGAATAGAATCAGAAGATTGAACCTTCGTCTCTGAAGAATTTTTCAAGGATGTTAAACAAATTTTCAGGAAGAACAACGCAGAAGTACTTGATCTTGTGTTGGGGCAGGGAAACCACCCAAGTGACCTTCCTGCCTTATTTACCCAGTACTTTGTATGTTGACTCAGATCCTCTTAGGAAAGAAGAAATCTGAGCATCATCTCCCACATTCTGATGAATGGCCAAGTTGCTTGAACAATGGACAGAAAAAAAAAAATCATGACCAACACGATCCTTTTTTTCGCCTCCACTTTTGCTTATGGCTCACAATCCTAAACCTAGTGTCCTTTCTTCCAAAGGGGGAAAAAAATGCATGTAATGTAGCCCAAAGTCACAATTGTGGGACAAAAAAAATTAAATTTAGTACAAATAACTGCACAGGAAAAGTTACCAACCAAGTCTAGACAAATCATTAGCCTTAGGCCACAGTTGTTACTTCAGCTCACACAAGTAGCTTGGCTTTCAACTTAAGCATTGTAACCAGATCACTTACACTTCACATAACAATTAAACTACTGAAACACTTACCTTGTGTATTTGCTTTCTTGTCAGGGGAGTAAATGGGTTTGAGTACTAGGATACTGTCTCAGGGAAAAGAGTAATACTACAATTATAGCTTTTACATGACAGAATGGTATATTTGGCACTGGCCTCCTAAAAGAGGCTGGGGGCAAGGCCCTGAATAACGCCCCTTAAGGAATTTTAGAATTCTTTTCCCCAAAAATGACCCTTTTAGACTGGCGGAAAACAAACTCCCAAGACAGATTTTTCAGATCCTTTAAATACTTATATGGTTTAATCTACCAACTCAGATTCATCACCCCTACAGTAAAAATGTGTCTTATACCCATCAGCTTCATCAAAATTCACACCAAATAAAAATTAAATATCTTGAATTTATTTTAAAATATCAAATGGTTACATTATTAACTACAAAAGCTAGAAATATTATTACAAGAAACAACAAAAAATCTTCAGACTTAACACCACACGTGACACTGACTTGGTCTCTATCTTTCTGCAGCCAACTCACAGCTGCAGGAACAAAAGTTCGTATTCAAAAATTACCTAAGGACGTGAACAAATGACATCTGCCTACCACACTAAAACACAGGCAAAAAATAATTTTAACTGTTTAGCATAAAATGCTAAGGAAAGGAGACTTCCTACAGATGTAAACCAAAAATAAGCCACCCTCAAAATAGTAGCAAAGAAAGAACAAAAGCCTCCAAATACTACTGGTTAGGAAACCAATAAATGGATTGTAAGGCACTAAAAAGGTGCTCCGTATAACCTTTCACATACATGCACAAAGCATGACAAAAAGCATGATGAATTTTACAGTAGTTAAGTCCTCCAGACAAAACTGAAGGATATATATACACACCTATCCTGCCGCGACCATGCCGCAGACTACCAAAGACAGAAAGCATGAACTTTAAATCTCTAAAACAAAGAGTATCCAGATGTCCTCACGGTATGCAGCTTTCATAAAACATAAGCTCTCAATGCAGGGACGGCCAACCCCAGCTTTTAACTCACATGAAGGCTGAATTTAGTTTTAGGGGCTGAGTTACATGAGTTCGAGGGGGCCATAGGGGCAGGAGGGTGTTGCACAATCCGAACCCTCAGCTGGGGGAGAAAGCACGTTCACATTGGCTGTTGCTGCTCTCACTCCAGCTTGGCTCTCTGAGGCCCAGCTGTGCACTCGACCCAGATCCATTCCCTCTGCAAGACCAGAACGCTTGGTCAGCGGTCACTGCCGCTTCCCAGTTATTAACTTTAAAACAAAACCTAAGTACATCTTTTCATATTTTTCAGAACAGACATTGTTGAATTAAAAAGCTTACCTTGTCAAGTTTCAGTTCCAGTTCTGTCACATCTCCTTCTACTTCTTCTAAAGCTGCCCTGCATGGTTAAAAAAATGTTTTCCTGTAAAACTTTACACAGAAATACTCTGGGATGGGGCGAAGGGGCAGGGACACATTAATTTAACCCTCCTACTGCCATCACAGTTTCACTTAAATTTCAGCTATAAAACAGCATAGATTTTAGAGAAGCGCAAGAATTGCAGAAAATTTGACAATAAAAAGATTAAAAATTACATCACTGCTAAAACATATAGCTTAGCAATAAAGATTTGAGATTAAATTTTACTAATCCTACTGTTTGTCACATTGAAATAGGTTTCCTCTATTCTTACATAGCCAACAATCTGTATGTTTGAAGGTAATAACAAAGGAAAGAAACTGAAAGTCCAAGTGAAATTTCTTAAGTAATTCTTCTGGTGACTCTCTTGGCTCAAACCTACAAACCTACAGCTATTTAATGAATGATCTTGCAGAGAGATTTTGAAAAATATAGCATTTGCCATGAGTCAACTGACTTAGTAGTAAGTTCAGATGGCACACTTGCTTATATCATTTGCCTCTAGTCTAAACTGGTTGCAACTTTCAGGCCAGTCAAATTTTACTTGCCAGTCAAATTGCTTTCATGAAGCATTTCTAAAGCATAACTTTTTTTGCTCGAGAGCTGATGTTTCTTTGGCACCTCCTTCCTGGCTTATTGCTACATGAAAAAACAGAAGACCGAGAAAGGATGACACTGTTCAGAGGGTTCATGAACATTGCTGTTTCATCAGGCTATTGCCTTGAGAGCTTGAATGTATTAATTTCTGGCAACGAAGGCTACACTACAAAAATTTCTTCAGTGAGGCTGGGATTTCATATTACTCCAAAGTTGGTAGGAACAGCTGTATTCTCATCCCTTGCTCCCATCACAGGGTGCCTCATTCTTTAAGTCATTCCAGCATAACTGTTCATGGAGCCACACCGTTCACCAGTAGTAGTCCGCCTTGGAAAAAAAAAGTAATAGGAAGTTTTCTGTAATGCCTTTTGGAAAATTGGATCAGATACATTTTGCTCCTACAAAAAACTCTTCCTGGAAAAAGTGAGGCAGGCAGGGAAGTATGATTTGGAGCAGGGATCTCTTAAGCCAGCTTTATCACTGAGGAGAGAGTACATCGAACCACAGCTTTACTGTCTCTTGCTAATTCCATTCCAGTTCACATGAGTTCAAGCCAAGAACAAAAAAAAAAAAAAAAAAAAAAAAAAGACTGGATCAGGCCCCAAACTGAGGAAAAACAGTTTTAACAAGAATAGTTCTGAAAAACATAGCCAATTGCCTGCAGTTCTCAAACACTGAGCATGACATTCCCAGCTTTTTGCAGATTTCACTAACACATACTTGCATTCCAGTTTTTGTATCTAAGGGCATTCCCACAGTTACATCCTAGGTTTTATATCTAAGCACATTCCAGGGCTGTTACATTTTGGCTTCTGCCTCTTCTCTAGCTTCAGACCACGAAGGACTTCAGGCAATGTCAATTTCTCTTTATTTTCTTCCATAAATTATTAACTTTCATTTAAGTCTCTGAAGTTAAATCTTGTTTCAGAGAGCATTACAGAGGGAGAAAAAATAAAAGGAAAAGTATCTCAGTATTTAGACTGCAATTTTGTATTTGTTTGTTTATAATCACAGTGCAACCAATTTTATTTGTTTCTTTGGCATTAACATAAAAGCATGATTAAGTAGTTTGTTTACAGAACTGCAGCAAGATCTGATAAGAATTTTTTTTTTTTTCTTTTAACTAGCAAAGAGTTTTAGCTCCACAGGACTTAATGAGCTAAAGAGTCTAAGATTCAAGATGAAGACAAGAGATAAAGGCAGTTAGAGCAGGCAGAATGAAGACAACACATCTGCTCAGCAATTAAAGCTCTATTCCAAGGGGAAAATTTCAAGACAGAATAAGCTCAACTGAGAGAGAGGTAACAACAGAACATCAAAAGACTGAAAAGAGAGGCAGGTCAAGAAGGAAGTATAAAGCAAAGCAGAAAGAGGTATCGTGAGAAGGGGGACATACAGTCCCTCCACCACCTGAGTTGTTGCAGGTCATCTTTGAATGACCACAGGCCCCTGAAGCACCAGACTGCTTCCATGCTATTTCCCACCACCACCACATGAAGGACGGAAGGCACATCTGGGCCCTACAGCTGGATATGTATCAAACAGCTGTTAGGTTCCAGCCAAACCCCGTTTCAACTCCTTATTTCTTTGCATAGAACTGGCTACTTTCACTGTTTCCATCATGTAAAAACTAGTAGAAAAGTTACTCTCATGCAAACTTATTCACAGTATTAGACCAACACTAGATTACAAGCATAAGAACAATGGAGAGGATGCACTCGGACTATCAGAATTCAGATGCACATACCTAATAATGCATTAACACCATCTAGTCACAAAAATTGTTTTCATACTGGGTTAGGGAACATATTAAGAACAGCTGATCTGAGCTGTGCTATGTTAATGCTATCCTTGTTTTTCTTCATTTAATGCTTTTTGAAGCCACAGAATACAAAGGTACATTTCTCTAAAATATCTGCGTCAGGAATAAAGTTCACAGAAAACTGTCATAATTCCGAGTAAATCTGATGGCCACAGCCAAGACCCAATCTCCAGCCATAAACACAGGAAGTGGTCACAAAACAGCTGAGGAGCAAGTGCCAGACCTGACACGTACCAAAAATGTCACTCCTTAGCAAAGTGGGAGCTGAGAGCAGGGTTTGCATCAGGATAATCTTAGACAGAAGGCTCTGGCATTAGGAATAAGGATCAAATCTGCCTCAGTACATGAATCAAAGTCAAACATCTGTGGCTTCCCAAGATGTTCAAACACCACATGGCAACGCACAAAACCAGAACAGCTGTTTAAGGGTGGAGGACAACTTTTATAAATGAGCAGTCTCCCATACTCTTCATGCTCCATAATGAGGACTCTCAGGAATGCATTTCTCTCCTCTGCTGTTCCTCCTCTCCTCTGAACCCCCCCCTTCCCACCCCACCTCCCCCACCCAAAACACACTTCAGTTTGCTAGATACAGCTTCCTGCACAGCCACAGCTGCAACGCAGGAGGAATATGGGAGATGATGGAAGAAAACTCAAGACCTGACTTAGCAGCCTTTTCAGTAAGTATAAAGTTCTGTTTAGTACCTTTATCCAGTTCTGTTTAATACCTTCAGCAATGATCTGGACGATGGGATCAAGTGCACCCTCATTAAGTTTGCAGATGACACCAAATTTGGTGGGAGTGTCGATCTGCTGGAGGGGAAGAGGGCTCTGCAGAGGCTCTGCTTATATCTGCAGTTACAAGCTTATAACTTAATAAATTAAGTTATGCTGGTGTCCATCACAGCCCTCCCCTTAGGTGACCAGTGAAAGATTTGCTTCCAGGCTAAGTTACTATGGGACTCCAAGAATCCCAGGAACCAAACAAAAAGATGACAGCTAAACTCTCCTCTAGAAAGAGAATCAGTCACTCTTAGGCCACAAGCTGCAGACACTTCCTAAGGAAACAACTTAGTCTGGACTATACCATTACACACTGCTGACTGCAACGCCAAGCACACTGTGGCCACAGACAAGCATCTGCTTGGCCTCCTTACTCTTACAGTGTAAAGGGTGGCAGTGGTCAATGCTTTTAAAGTCAGCTCTTCTTCAAATGATATCTAACTGCCATTGAAGCCATGTCCTGCCTTTAGTCTTTCACTCATCCATCATGTTCTCGCTTGCACTTTTAGACTGCATTCCTGAAAGTGAGGAGGCTGGAAACAGTAGCCTTATAAATTAGTTGCTGACAAACAACAAATCGGAGAAATCAAAGGTGCTATGGATAATTAACAATTAATTGTTAATTCCAGAATTAACACTATAAAAATATTCAAAATAATAAAAGCCCATTAATAACGTGGGGTTTTTTAATTGAGGAAAGTTTAAAGCCTAAATCTTACATTCACCTCTTGAATATACTTTCAGAAGAACAGGAACAAGTACACAAAATCAAGTGCTATTCAGACTGGGACTTCTGATTACATTCATGTATTTGGACTCATAAAATGGGAATAACAGATTCTCACCATCACAATTTCAATGTTACTCCTAAGGTCTTGTCTTCAAATCTTGGAAAGACACAGGTCTCCTACTTGCACATATTCTATGCAGAATAGCCCCTTAATGCACAACTTCGCTGCAGATGACCTGCCATTTCAACTAACATCCACTACAGTTCAATGGTATGAGGCTGACATGCGAGACTAGCCACAAATTATCAATAGCTAAATCAAATTATTTGAGTACACATATTCAAGTGTGACTACATTCACATTTTCTTTCATTTACTGCAGTATAATTTAAAGAGACCGGCTGTATGTAAGAAGAGTAGATAGAGAGGCATTACCCACTGCCAGTGGAGAACAATTCAGCCTCAGAAGGACAGAAAACATCGAACATGAACCAACAAGCAAATGGTACTGTGATTAACTCCCCTTTGTCCTCTTCAATTGCATTTCATTTTAAACTTTAAGGACATTAGGAAAACTGAAAAGCAGTTACAAAGATATGTACAACTCACTGACTGCAAGGGCCAAAGCTGGATAAAGGTGGTTCCTAGCTGACTGAAGTAAAAGCAGTTGGATCATTCTAACTCTCAATATAAACCTAACACAGGCACTAGCAGTTACTAGCTGCAAGCTATCTGTGCATCCCACGGTGGTATCACAGTTCCAAATGTGTGTCAACTACATCAAAATCACAGAAGTGCAAGATAAGGATATGTACCTGATGACTTACAGGAATGTCTCCTCCTCTGTGCCAGAGCCTATCAGGTGACAGACAGCAAAAAGGCCAGTAAACATTAATCAAAGGATGGACTACAAACTATAAGTACGATGTAAAGGCAAATTAAGAAGTATCTTGTGTGGTATAGCTGCTATACTTGCTCACCTAATTGGTCTGCTTGCTTGCTCTTTCTCTGCACACACATAGCAGTTCCACCTTGGTATAGCACTTCAGATGCTAAGCAACTACTTACAGTTCAGTTTAGAAACAACCACAAATTAACTGCTGAGGGTAAAAATCAGGCCTGGAACACACACAACACCATGACTAATGCCACTGTAGAGAGAAATACAGTGTTGACAGCAAAGTCCTCCAAATAGAAATCTGTTGTGAACATCACAGAAAAGACAAAATAGTAAAACTGTACTAAACAAGTAAACAGTCAGTTCTACTGGTGACACATTTCAAGCTTCCATACCCTCTCTGCTATCAGGATCAACACACATTTCACCTACAAGAGGCTGTAACATAACACAGCTATGGCAAAAACACTAAAAAGGGAATAATTTGATGACACTGTTCCAGCCAAAACTAGCTGTAACTACTTTATAAACAATACTCCTGATCCTCTCCACTTTGAATGAGAATGGAGGACGGAAGTAACACAAACTCTCAGGACAACCTGTTCCCATGCTTAGCCCTCAGTGTATGCCATTTGCATTGCTGCTTCTTTCAATCATTGTGTCTTTCCGCTGTGCGCCTAAAAACAAAACCCCACACCTATACCTACTACCTGAACTCTATAATCTACTGGGTAACCAACGACAGCAATTAGATGCTCCATAAGCCTTCTTAGCCTGAAGAAGGCCACAGCCCTCATCCTCTCCTTGAATTCCACATACTCCGTTCCAGTTGGCTTTAGCTGTATGTCCTTCATTTTGCTAATATCCTTCTTTTACTGCAGGGTCCCAAACTGGTCACAACACTCCAACCTTGGCCTCCTGACAGCTAAATACAGGGTGATCATCTCTTCCCTCAACTTTCCAGCTATGCTCTTGCTAATGTAGCCCAACACACTGCCAGTTTTCATTGCTGCACAGGCACACTGCTGACCAATGGTCCATTTCCTGTCCACCAGGATGCAAAGGTACAACTGCATGGGGTTGTTACTTTTCAGAGGAGGTCTTCACAGTTGTCTTGGTTAAACTTCAGAAGCTTTCTACCAGTACTTTCCTCTACCTTGCTGAAGTCCTTCTGAATTGCAGACCTACTCTCCAGAGTATCAACTGTTCCCTCCAATCATTGTGTACTTAGTTTGATTTCCTTCATCTATCGTTAGATATAAAAAAGGTATCTAGAGGCATCTTAACCAACATGCTAACAAGGAATAAATTTGGTATGCACATAATTGTATCAGACAACCACAGATTAAAAAAGAAACATGACATATTGAGGAACAAAAGTCATAGACTGAACAATAAGGCCTAATAACCTCGGATAACAGCATAGATACATACAAGAAGAGTTTTATAACTTATGAGATGTGTCATAACCATTAATATGGCCTGAAGAAAGAACGCTGTTGCAGCTTGTCACAGAGCCCATTGAAATCCTGGTTTGGCAGTGTAGATATTTTTCCCTGCTGGCACAGAGCCCCTCCAGGCTGAGGAACAGATGATGAATGCTCCCTGACATGCAGAGATAAACTTCCTCAGTCATGCTAGTATTCCTTACATTATTAATTGTTCAGTCATTGCCACAAAACATTTTATCAATAGTTTGGAAAAGCTTCACAGCATGAACAGTAAGACTTCGAATCAGAAATGCGACTTTCTCTTCACCCCCAAACCAAAATCCTAGACATTTTCTATAAACCTGGTGGATTGAAATATGGAAATGCATTTCCTGAACTGAAGATTACCATGTTGATGAATAAGTCAAGTTTTCTCAGGTCCATAGCAAGCACTATCCACATTTCAAATTCCCCCAAAGAAACAAGAATCAAGTCCTCAATATTAGAAGAGCCATTTTTCTGTTCTTCCCAAGTCAGACTTCTCCTCTTATAAAATAATCATATGAAATAAGACAAGGGTATTTACTGAATTCACTTAATCACTATTTGCTTTAATAAGCAAAAGTCTACTTCTAGGTACCAGTTTTTAAGGTAGTCTTCACCTACAAAGTTTAGTTCATCCTCAGTAACTCATATGGTCTTTGATACAGCAAACAAATGAGACAAATCCCTTCAAGATGCGTGCTTCACTTGATTTGCTCTTTACTGCGAGACTACACATGGCTCAAGATAATGAACATTATAAACAA